GGCTGTCTCTGATGGTGCAACAGATTAAAGCGCAGCACAGTGAAGCTGGCCGGCCACTTCCCTGTGAGTTCAATTCCCCGCCCAGAAGTAACCCACATAGCACAGCATACATCTCCTGTCTTGCCTGCTGTTCCCCTCAGCAGTGTGCTTTGTCATTCTGCCTGTTCTGCTCCCCATTCTTGTCTCTGGGGAATCTTCTCACCACCTCTGTACCTCTGGCCTGAACCCCAGTTCTGTATCCATAAATAAATACATCTTTAAAAATAAATAATAAATGAGTAAACCTGAACTTGTATTGACATAGTTCTAGCTCAGATTTCTCTTTTAGCATAGTGAGATTTTTAGTACTTTAGCTCTCTTCTAGTAGTAGTATGAGAGTTCACTTTAAAGCAAATTTGTAAGGCCTCCCTGGTGGCACAGCTCTCAGCACTATGAAGCTGTCTGCAGCCACTGCAGCAGGAGTTCAATTCCCAGCTGGGAGCTGACCCACACGGTGCAGCAGCCCTCTCTTGTCTCACCCACTGCTTCCCTCAGCAGTGTATTCAGTAGATCAGTCCTGCTCCCTATACTGTCTCTGGTGAATCTCTCTCACACACACACCCCAACCTCTGGCCTGCACCTCAGCTCTTGTATGCATAAATAAATGAATCTTTTAAAAGGAAAAAATCAATTTGTATCTTTACCTTTACTGACAGAACAGATTTCTTTCTCCCTCCTCCCCCCTGCATTGAAATATATATATGAACAAATAAATGAATTGGACAGACGTAATCAAAGGTTTCCTAACTCTGTGGTATACCCTTTAACGTGCTGGTATTGTCATATACTGCCATTCCCTTAGCAACTTGATTTAGCTTCTGAATGTACTGAAAGCGACTTGCTTTCATCAGGTGGAATGAACTATTTCAAACTATAGTGCATTAACTAATTGAAACATTTGGTGTCTTGAAAATGATATAGACCAAATTAAATCTTATTTTAATAATGTGCATAATTGTGGTTTAAATAACTGATTATTATGAATTTCTTATGAAATCCTCAACTTTGATGCTGAATTTTCATTAAGGTATATCTGTCTGAAATCAATAGTAGCACAGCACAAATTCTGTTTTAATGTAGGCTATATGAGGGTTTTTTTTTTTTTTAAACTAAAACAAGCATGTATTGGAGATCACTTAATTTACACAACCCTACATTCCAGATGTGCCTGAGAAAAGCTCACTTTCCAGTGTGATGTATTAAAACAGTATTTGTTATACAATTAATAAATGTGTACATATTTTCATATATATGTCCCTCATTTTTTATTTTCATTTATTTATTTTAAAAGATTTATTTATTCATTATTCAGAACTGGGGTATAAGCCAGAGGTGCAGTGAGGGACAGTGAGAGGCTTCACCAGAGAGAGAGTGGGGAGCAGAACAGGCAGATTGACGAAGTATACTGCTGAGGGGAGCAGCGTGTGGGTCAGGAGAGGTCTGCTGTGCCATGTGATCACCTCTGTGGCAGGGGATCATACTAGCACTGAGGTGGTTGTGGCCAGTTTGCGCCACCAGGGAGGGCTGGTCCCTCTTTTTAAAGGAGTTAAACAACTTCAAGGATATTTCCTCTAACTGTTGAACATGATTGGAAAACTGATAACCTAGCCTATTCATCATATATAGAGAGAAAATAAAATTCAAAATAACTGAACCAGAAAGAATTAGGTTAAACAGACTCACCTAAATTTCCTATCCATCTTATAGTAAGCAGCTTCTGTTGAAATAAATATCTGGAGGAGGAGGAGGTTGTGATAATGGATAACCAGAGCATGGTC